GAGAAGCTGCTAGAAGGCAGTGAAGGGGTGGGAGGAGGTGCTCCAGGCACCAAAGCAGAGATTTCCCTGCAGCCCCTGGTGAAGACCATGGTGACGCAGGCTGTGCCCTTGCATCCCATGGAGATTAATGGTGGAACAGATCCCCACCTGCATCCCAGGGAGGACCCTACGGCACAGCAGGCAGATGCTCAAAGAAGGCTGTGACCCTGTGGGAAGTCCGTGCTGGAGCAAGCTCCTGGGAGGACCTGTGGACACATGGAGGAGCCCACGCTGGAGCAGGTTTGCTGGCAGGACTTGTGACCCCTTGGGGGACCCACACTGGAGCAGTCTGAAGAACTGCAGCCCGTGGGAGGGACTCATGCTGGAGAAGTTGGTGGAGGACTGTCTGCCATGGGAGGGACCCCACCCTGGAGCAGGGGCAGAGTGTGAGGACTCCTCCCCCTGAGGAAGAAGGAGCAGAAGAGACAATGTGTGATGAACTGACCCCAACCCCCATTCCTGTCCCCTTGCGCAGCTTGTGGAGGAGGAGGTAGAGAAAATTGGGAGTAAAGTTAAGACCAGGAAGAAGGGAGGGGTGGGGGGAAGATGTTTTAAGATTCAGAGGGCTTTTTTTATTCTTTCCTATCCCATTTGAATGTTGGTAACAAATTAAACTAATTTTCCCAAGTTGAGTCTGTTTTGCCCATGACAGTAACTGGTGAATGATGTCTCCCTGTCCTTATCTCGACCCATGAGCCTTTTGCTATATTTTTCTCTCCCCTATCCAGCTGAGGAGAGGAGTGATAGAGCAGCTTGGTGGTACCTGGCGTCCAGACAAGATTAACCCATCACAGTTTAAAATCATAGATTTTTTTCATTTAGTGTCCCCTAAAATTTGTTGGTTCAGATACCTCATATGTAACCAAACCATAAGTCATGTTTGAAACTTACCTATATCTCCCTGTAGGCACAGCACTGTTCCCTGCATGTAACACTCTGTGTAACATGAAACACATAGTCTGAAAAGGAGATACATAAACAATCATAAAGGTATGAAGACTTCTCAGCTACTATTCCCATGAGGCTTTGCAGAAGTGTGGTTGGACTGATTAGGGATCATCACTTTGTGACAACATTAATTCAACATTAGTATTTTTCTGAACTTTTCATATTACAGAGATGGGAAACTGCTCTTCAATCAGCTCTTGATGGCAGCCATATTCCAGATGATCTTCATCCAGACTGGCTGAGCAATCATTCTGAGTTTGTCCTATTTCTTTTCTTAAAACATCTATCTACTCATCATAACAGGCTGTTCTAAAGAATAGCATTACATGGGAAAGTTTCCTCATACATACTGGGAAAAATCTTGTCTAGAAGATGTATTTTAACATCAGATATTACATATAATCTCTCTTACCACTGGAAATACAAAGCAGTCATCAGTAAAGGCAGTTGCTTTGGGTTCAGTTCTTGAGTCATCCATAGACTTTATGTACAATTTTGAGCAATCAGCCTGTAATATGCTTTCCTCATCTTTAATACAGAAATGATGCCACTACCTTACACTCAAGTCACGCACCCTACCCTACACACAACTCATCACTGGGGACTGTAAACTCTTTGTAACAGCGTTTGACTCTTAATTCACATCTGTACAGCACCTAGTACAACACAGTTTCAGTGTGATCAGGGACATCAGTGCAATACAGCAGCGGAGAATGTTCTCGAATCAGCTTCTGGTCATCCAGCTCAGAGTCAGTAAGGAATTAAGAAAGAATACAGCATTAAGGGTTTCACATTAATAAGGTTAGTCCTGGGACTACCCAGAAATCTCAGCTTCCAGAATGAATGGTATATCATCAACCAGGAAGCTGAGGAAATCCTGCCAGTAGACAGGGGTACATTCTAACACCAGGCTACAGTGACTTCTGTGTTTGTTTTCTTGAAAATACTGCAAATCAACATACTAGTCTCCCTCAGATACATTCCTTTCATTCAATCAGGACATTTAAATTACTGTTCTGTGAAACACATAACGAGGGAGTCTTGGTTAAGTCTTATTGCTAATAGTGCTTTATAGAACCTGGACTGCTGGCCACGTTTGGTTCTTCATTTTGGAATATCTAAAAAAGCTTTACAAGGAATTATCTATTTCTGTACACAGACTTTCCATGCCCATTCCAGTTGTTCTCAGCTGCTTCCAGAGAAATCTTTTTCTGAAAGACAAGGCTTCACATGAAAAATTATACAGAAACCAAGCTTTCCATGGTCTTTGACAGACACTATGTGCAACACATTGATCAAGTGGGATTGCTCAGTTATTCTGATGAACAGTTACGTATTGTATTTGACCTTTGTTGTGTGTTCTTATGCTCATGGATGCCGTATTTTCAGTACTGTTACTGATTAAGCTCAAGCAGTTAAAGATTTCTTCATGCTTACCAATGCTTAACACTTCCCCCCTCTGCCCTATTAGAGGGAAGTTTGTCACAGTCCCAACTCAGAGACAGCAAAAGGGAATGTCCGAGAGCCACTCACCTACACCAACCCTTCCACACTATTTCAAAATACATTTCCCATCAGTTTCAGCTAAGGCATCTGACTGCCACTGAAGCAGATGAAAAGTGTTCACATGTTCCCCTCTAGTGACTCTGTTTTTATACTGTCATGTCTTAAACTGCCATTTTGGCAATTTTTTTATTTTCAAAATAATTGTGCAACTTATACCTGAGGCTTTTGCAGAGACAGCCTGTACATCATACTGCTATGGCTGAATTTAAGGCAAACTTTTCACAGCATCTTGCTGTTCTTCTGGATTTCTTTTTCTTTCTTAAGTTTCACACTTCTTTTAGTCTATACACAGATCCTTAAAACCATTTCAACATTCTAAGACTGACTTACACATTCAGTTTGACTTCTTAGAGGATAAATAATTTCCTTACTATTAGTAGTATGAAGCAGGAAGGATGGAAAAGATTCTAGAAATACTGATTTTTTTTTTTCTTTTTTTTTTTTTTTTTAAATTAAAAAGATACCAGGCTTCTTTTCAAACATCAAAACTCTTACCATGAACTAATCAGACTGGACAATAGTGAATCATTGCAAATTATGACCAAAACTTAAATCAAACAATCCTAGAAGCTAGGAGGAAGACTTTTTTTCTTAACATCTGGAGGTTGTTTGGATGACTCAAGAGTTATGGTGCAAATGAAAAAACAGAAGTT